CATAAGTCGTGCGAGTCCGCTGAAAACAACCAAGGGGGCCACCGTCAGAAGGAACACCAACTCCTCGTCATCAACAAGTCATCAACAACAACCGAGGCCTTCCACGGGTCCCCCGACGACCAGTACTCGAGAGGAAGACGACAAACTCCTCGATCTTCATCAATCTCCACGACCGGTCACGAAAACTCGTCTACACCAACTACGAGTAAGTCCTCCTTCCTCCAACTAAAAAACGAGGCCTAGCACTTAGTACATAAGTAACCCCCTTTCAACTAGAAGATTCATTTAATCCGCGATTAACACTTTAAAACTCCACCTTACAGTGGACTTATTCAACCTCCCGGAAGAAGTTGCCATCGACCCCGCGCTATTCGACCAGGATTTTGTTTTAGACTTCCCACTCCCTACACCTTACCACCTTCCCCCCTCTCCCCCTACCACGATCGACTCTCTATCACCTTCATACTCCCCGGAGCCTTATCCGGCCCCTTCCCCCGCGAACTCTCCCCCTCCATCACCGACGAACTCCACGTTAAGCGTGGAGTTCTTAGGTGAACTTCCGTCCCTGGAATTCCTAGAAGAGTTCGAGTTCCCCGGAGATCTCGTACGTGAGGATTCCACGCCTGACGTGGAATTCCTCCGTCAAGTCTCCCATTCCCCTACCTTCTCCACGTCCGACGTGGAATTCCTCCGCCAAGTCTCCCATTCCCCTACTTTCTCCACGTCCAGCGTGGAATTCTTACAAGAAATTCTCCCTTCCCGGCCTCCTAGCGCCTACACCTCTCCTGTGGAGTTCCTTGGAGAACTCCTACCCCTCTCACCCTTAAACAACGCTTTCCCAGATCTCCCTCCATTATCACCCACCGCCTCCACGCCCAGCGTGCAAGAACTAATAGACATAGTGACTTTGTAGAGATAAATATATACATATGTACACGATACTAGACTCATTATAATTTTATACATACAAAAATATCCCGCGTTTGTATATATAAATAAATTGTAATAATATGGAAACTGA